AATTTGTACACTTAAGAGTGGTTAACATGGTAAACTTAAGAATGGTTAAAATGATAAGCTTTACGTTTTCATATTTTACCATGGTTTTTAAGAATTCCATTGTATAACTATAAACATTTATTAAACCATTCTCCTATTAGTGAACATCTAGGTTTTACCCAAAATTTAAACCATTAGAAATAGCATTACAATACAATTTACAGATGATGTATTATAAAAAATTAACATTATGATTTTTTAAATGTATGTCCTTTGACCCAGCATTTTTATTTGTGAGTATTTATCCTGTGGTAATAATGAAGAATATGTATAAAGATGAACATTTCCCTCCTGGCACTGTTTTAATGTAAAGTGGGGAAACACATAACACAGGACTGGTCAAATAAATTACTGTACACAATGGAAGATTAGCAGCTATTAAAAAGTGTACTACAGCCCTTGCTGGTGTGGCTAGACCACCTGCCCGTAGACCGAAGGGTCTCGGGTTCAATTCTCTGTCAAGGGCTCATACACGTGGGTGGCAGATTCCATCCTCCGCCCCAGTTGGGGTTGTGTAGGAGGCAACCAATTGATGTTTCTCTCTCTCTCTCCCTCTCCCTCGCCCTCTCCGTGTTCCTCTCCCTCTCCCTCTCCCCCTTCCTCCCTCCCTTGCATTCTATCTAAAAATCAAGGGGGAAATATCCTCTGTTGACACTGATTTAAGGGTATGTGTGGCAAACTTTAAAGGAAGTAAATGTTCACCTGTGCCGCAGAGGAACGTATCTGGGAGAACGTGTAAGTTTTTGCCAGTGGTCATCTGAGTGAAAGGGACTTGGTTACTGTTTTATGCTCTTTTTCTTACTTGTCAGTATTTCTGTGCAATAAGCATGAACTCTATTTTTTTTAAAGGCCAACAAAAGAGACTTAATCTTTAAGAAAACATTTAAAAACCCTGCTTGTTTTTTTTCTTTTCTGTGAAGAAGCACCATGCCTTTCTTACTGTACAAACTATCCTTTATCACTCCCCCCCCAAAAAAGAAAAAAAATGCCAACAGACTGACTGTCAATAGGTTATTTATTTTATGATATCATCAGATACTTCCTTAAACTAAAATAACTTAAAATTAGATCATATTAAAAAATATCTTTGGTAAAATGACTATGAGGTATCACCTCACACCTGTCAGAATGGCCGCCATCAAGTCATCAAACAAGTGTTGGCGAGGGTGTGGAGAAAGGGGACTCTAGTACACTGCTGGTGGGAATGCAGACTGGAGCAGCCACTATGGAAAACAATATGATGTTTCCTCAAAAAATTAAAAATTGAACTGCCATTTGACCCAGTGATCCCACTTCTAGGAATATACCCTAAGAAGCCTGGAACACCAATCAGGAAGAATATATGCACCCCCATGTTCATAGCAGCACTATTTACAATAGCTAAGATCTGGAAACAGCCCAAGTGTCCATCAATAGATGAGTGGATAAAAAATCTGTGGTCCATATACACAGTGGAGTACTATGCAGCTATAAGAAAAAGAGATCTCTTACCCTTTGATACGACCTGGAGGGACCTGGAGAGTATTATGCTAAGCGAAACAAGCCAGACAGTGACATGGAAGTAGGGAAGAGACTGACAAACCTCAGGGGGAAGGTAGGGGTTGGGGGGCCAGGAAGAGAGAAACCAAATATGCCTATATGTATAACCAATGGACAAAGACAACAGTGTGGTGAAGGTGGGGGAGGGAGGATGAGTGGGGAGAAGGGAATCAGTGTGGGGGAGAAACATCTGTAATCCTTTCATAAATAATGATAAATTAAATCTAAAAAAATAAAAATATAAAATTGAACATGACATTAAAGAAATTCTTATTTGGCTTTAGAGGATAAGGTAAAAGTGTACTGAAATATTAATGTGTTTTATGCCACATGTGACATCTATTTTGGCATCCTTTATCTTTCGGTTTAAAAAAGAAATAGGCATTCATTATAGAAAATGTAAACTATTCAAAAAATATGAAGAAAAATAAATTTAAATTAAAAGTGAAATAGAAAAGAAATCTCTTTGGGCTCCTGGTTTGCTTCCTAGCAGTCCACTGCAGGTCTATGTGCAAAGCACTGAATGAGAATACTTTCTACTTTGGCGAACAAGGCAGACCTCCTTTTACAAACGAGGGAGGTCTGTCTCCGAAAAATAAGGCTCCGGGTGAAGTACGTGAGACATTTGTATCTGAATGAAACCCCATCTGATAAGAGCGAGAAAACGATATGCCTTTCAGAGCATCCCGAAGGCTTGGGCACTTGTGGAGGGATTAAAACTCAGAAGGATGAGTCTGGAGGACAAAGCAAACCACCTTAAAGGCATTTCTGTTTGGGTGTCCCACAGCAGTTGTAAATCTGGAACAGGAAACTGGAAATCACAGAGGTCACATATTTATAACATCACGTCCAATTAGGTTAGAAAAGTGCCAATTCTGTCATCATGTCATAAAAAAGTGTGTTTTTCTCTCAGATCCCTTCCAAACAAAAGTTCCCTGTATTGTTGCGGACAGGGCTGTTTTCAATCAGTTACAAGGAGCAATTCAATTACGAGATGGTTTAGTTCAGTAACTGACTCCAGACTAATTTAATTCCTTTAGGTCTCTAAAGATCAATTGATCTGATTTGTCCCATCCCCAAAGGCTGTTTAGGGAAAATTCAGACTTAAATACCTGGAAATGAAATCCAAAACCTTGGCCAGTTTCACACTACTTGGGTCGTCTTGCACATTCCTGGCTCAGTCACACAAGACGCTCTCTTGGCCCCGGGCCGTTGAGACCAGATCGTGTGTGAGTGTCCCTGAAGTGGGAGTGTGTCCTACGCATCAAGTCTGTCTGTCTGTCTGGGCACTCCTATCTCACGAACACGTGCAGCCAAGGGCCTCTTCTTTCTCCAGGAGTAGCTTATGAAGATATTAGAAGTCAAAAACCATGCTCATCTAATAAGATGAGGAACCCACATTTATAAGCTGCTTTCATAAATGTCATCTTCCCTGGCTCTCAAAATAAACCTGCGAAGCGGACAGGGTTATTTTCTCTATTTTCTAGACGAGGACAACAGACGCAGAGGTTACGTGACTTCTCCAGGAGGCCTCAGCCAGTCAAAGGCAGAGGGGGACTCTAACCCAAAACTTTGTCTCCCAGTGCACCACGTCCGCCCTTGATCTGAGACAGAAGATGCCACGTACACTATGAAAACACATCACCACCACCCCCGCCCAGCCACTCATTCTGTTTTTGTTTTTTTTTAAATCCTCACCTGAGGACATTATTTCACTTTTTTTGTTATTCAGATAGAGTGGGAGGGAGAGAGAGAAACATCGACGTGAAAGGGACACATCGAGTGGCTGCCACCCGCACAACCCAACCAGGGCCGGGGACAAACTGCAACTGAGGTACGTGCCCTTAGCGGGATCCGAACCCAGGACTCTCCGGACCGCAGGCAGACACTCTAACCGCTGAGCAAAACAGCCAGGGCGGAGCCACTCATTCTTGCTTGACACCTGACTACCAGTGAGGATGGTTCACTGATTACAGTGCCACCTGCACAATCCCAGTCTGCACGGTCCCCCCGGCACCCCAGAAATAGATGCAGAAGGTCCCGCCTCCCAGAGCAGCCTGGTCACGGACTCGGTCGTTGCCACGTCTGCAGAGCCGGGTCCCAAGGCCTGTCTGCCCGCCCACATCCCAACGAAAGGAGGGCCGCCAATGCCCGTCCTGTTTCCACTGTGGATCTTCAACCACGGCCCCAGGCCTTTCTCTGCCCTCACACCCACCGTCCGCAAGCTCTCCCACTGACGGATCTTTCTCCTACGCAGATCCCGCAGCTGCTGCCCAACTTGCAGTCTCTTGTCTTCTCCGCCTCCCCTCCAACCTCCAAACCTGGGCTCCCAAACGGAGAGCCCTCCCTGTTCTCGGCGCCTGGGAAGGCCAGGAGAGACCGGACAGGTGTTGCTAAACACGCAATCGCCCCTTAGTCTGGTCGCCCTGACAGCTGGGGAGGAAGTGCAGCGGGTGGGAGACCACATGGCGGGTACCCAAGAGGGTGGCAGAGAAAACCACACCAAGATTCGGAGATGAGATAAAACAGAGGGCTGGTGCCAGGGTGCCCCGCCTGTCACTAAAGACTTCGGGCCCCTAAATGCAGGAGATGAATAGTGTCTGAGGATCTAATGTAGAGCATGGTAATTAGTTAGTCATACTATTACACAACTGAAATTTTTTAATAGAGTGGAACTTAAAAGTTTTAACCTAATAATAATAAGTACAGAAAGTTACAAAGTATGTGTAAGAAATATAGAAAATCAGGTTAAAATGTTTTTCTCTCTGAAAAACACATGTTTTGACATCTCTGTTGGGCAAACCATGGAGCTCAATATCGTCATCACTAATCACACAGATGGTCTCACACTGTGGGAACCATTTGAATTAGGTTAAAAGTGGGGTGAGCTTGAGGCACATGATTGTCACTTGTCTTCTTCAAGGTCCTGAGATCTGACATCTCTCCTATGAAATAGAAGCAGTCTAAGCTCTGGGTAAAATATGTGCCTTGAATTAAATGACCTCTTTTTTTCAAAATTCCAAACGACCCTTGTATTCTTCTTGTTGCAAATACACCCAGTTCAGAGACAAAGGTTATCAAGGGTGCCATATCCCTGCAGATTGCCACTCGAGACGTGGAGCTGAACATCACCAAGAGCACTGAGCCTTTGCAGCAAAGCCTATTTCTACAGAGCAATGACTGTCCCAACCAAAGAAACACTTCGCTCTGAAGCTGGGCACAGAACAGACGCGGCCGCAGCAGCTGTCTAAGTCGGAGCACTTGCATGTGTACACACTCGTGACTGGGAGGAAGGGGCAGAGACTGGAGATTGTATACAATGAGGTTAGGGTTCTTTGGCGTTGAAAGGAGTGTGTTCTTACAAACTCGCTCTTCTCTTTATCTTATCTGGACAAAGAAAGTAAACAGAAAATTCTCATTACCTCTCGATGTCAGTGAGCCTGGAGGAGTCCCGAAATCCTTTGGCAAAAGGGTTGCTGTCTATTTTCAGCTTGGTTATCTGGAAGGGAAGAATGGGTAACACAACAATATCATTTCCGAGGTCTGGGAAATAAAACCAGCAACAAAGCTTTCGCTCAGCCTTGGATGGTTTGGCTCAGCGGTTAGAGTGTTGGCCCACGAACCAGAGTCCCAGGTTCGGTTCCCGTTGGGGGCACGTACCTCGGTTGCAGTTTGTCCCTGGCCCCCGGGGTCGTGTGGGTGGTAGCCACTCGGTGTGTCTCTCTCACATTGATGTTTCTCTCTCTCTCTTCCTCCCTCTCTCCCTCCCGCTCTATCTGAAGATAAATGCGAAAATATCCTCGGGTGAGGATAAAAAAAAAAAGAGTTTGTTCATTTTTCATCAAGGCACCTCAAGAAGGTCTAGTGTCTTTCAGTACCCTGAGAAAGTTGAAATTGCTGGAGAGTTCATGGGAGGGAGGGATGAGTTGGGATGAGAAGATGTTTGAGAACAGGCCAGAGGGCAGTGGATGGTCAGTTAGGGACGGGGCCTGTCCCGAACAGTGCGGCTGCAGTGGGAAGGATTTCCGAGTCCTGGCAGACCACGGCCCCTGGGGAGTGGGGAGCTGTCTAGAGGGCCAGCATCGGTGGGGAATAAAAACAAGAACATTGCCTCATGCTCATTTGGCAACATCAGTTGTTAATACCATGGGCACATATATATACCTTAATGGATAAAAAGATTAAATGGCCAATAATAGCTTCTATATTGAGATACATGATGTAAATACATGCTACACGGATGGGGAGCCTTTTTCTGCCAAGGGCCATTCAGATATTTATAACATCATTCACAGGCCACACAAAATTATCAACTTAAAAATGAGCCTGCTGTATTTGGTCAGGCTAATTCGGTGGAGCATGTGATGGTAGCCGGTATTGATTTCTCAGGCCTTATACGGCCCTCGGGCTGGACGTTCCTCACCAGGACCCCCTCCCATCTTACTGGATTAGACTCACATGAGAACGTCTTTTGCTGCCCACCCCTGCAATGTTATGCACAGACTCTATGTTTACACGGGGAAAAATTATTTGCTAATAAGAGCTGAGTTGCTAATAAGCAAATAAGAAAGGTGTGAAGTATTCAGTGTCTATGCTGGGCTAGGCCTAATTCCCGCAGTATTAATATGAATGTGAAAAGGGCTATTCAATCGTACGCACTGCATCTCCAAAACGTAAGACATCAGGTTAGGAAGCAAAAGTGAGTAAGTAAAGAAAGGAAACACTGATTGAAAGACGCTGGGCTGGTGGAAGCAACTTTGCCCCTGATCAGAGTGTATCTACGGTTCACCGTAAGCCATTAACACCTGAAGAAATGGTTTTATTATTACAAAAGAAAGGCATTTTTTTTTTCCTTTTCAATTTTTTTAAATGTGGCAATCTTATTTTATTTATTTTTATTTTTTTAATTAATTTATTTATTTTTATTACAGATGTTTCTCCTTCTCCCCACAGACACCCTCCTTCCTATCCCGCCCCCCAACTCCGACCCCACAAGGATTACTGTCTATGTCCATTGGTTACATGTACATGCACATGAGTTCTTTGGTTTATCTCATTCCTCCCCCAACTTGCCCTCCTCTGAGGTTTGTCAGTCTGAACCAGACTCCTTTCTATGTCTCAGGGTCTATTTTGTTTTCTTAATGTGAGCTACCAGTGTACAAGCTGCTAAGAAGGTACTTCCCTCGCTTAGCGCAGAAATCCGCCCACTCCCCGGACCAGAGGGCCCGCATTCTGTCGTTACCGCTGGAAGTTACCAGCTGAGTCTTTGGTAGTCATTTTAAGGGCACCTGCCAATGCCAGAGAAAAGCTCATGTTTAGCCCACGCACATTCACTCTAGAGCAGAAAAACGTTTTTTTTTTGCTAATTTCCTTTCAGCTTAGCTCATGGAAATTGGAAAACAGGGAAGGAAATAAGCTAGACAAGTAAGCAATCATTCCTGGCGGACAGCAGCAGCCCTTGGAGGACGCGTGCGAAGAAGCACACAGAAGCCGGCGGTCGCCTCCGGGGTGGCCACCAGGGGGTGGTAGGAATGCCTTGCACACCCGGCCACGGGTCCGAGAGGGTGAAGTCTGAGCCGTTCCTTCAGAGCAGGATTCACTTTGGAAAGTGCATTTTCAGGAAGAGGCAGAAAATTTGTATTTGTCTGAAATAAGTGTATAAACATCTTCTAAAGCCCAAGCAATCAGTAGGTTCGAAGATTATATGATGCCACCAAGATTTTAAATTCCAAGACAGGAGTTGCGTCTCTTTCTACTGGATAATTATATTAAAACACTTTATATTTCTAAAGTACTTTATAGTTCATACAACTGTCTTCACAACAATTCATCAACAAATAGTTAACAGAGATTGATTACGTATCATGAACTATGCGAAACGTTGGATGGAACAAACACACGGTCCCTGCTCTAACAGAGCTTAGAAGGCCACGGAGCGGACAGCGGGCCGCAGCGCTGAGCACGGAGGTGACTGAGGTGCTGGTAAAGAGCGTGGCGTGACAGCCACCGCCGCGTTTGAGATGCTCAGGGCGAGCCGAGGTCAGGTGGGCATTTCACACCGAGGCTGTGCGATCACTACCAGCTCATTTATAAAGTTAAAAAGTAAACGGATTGAGCAACGAATAAAACTTTCTGGAGACAATGGCAGATACTATATCTGCTGGACAAACTAAGGACTTGGCAGTCACAGAAAGACAAATAGCATGTGATTTCACTTGCGAGTGGACTGTAAGGAACAAAATAAACAAACAAACGAAACTGAAACAGACTCCTAGATACAGAGAGCAGATTGGTGGTTGGGGCACTGGGTGAGAGAGGGGAAGGGACTAAGAAGCACAAATTGGCAGATACAAACAGTCACAGAGAAGTAAGGTCAGCACAGGGAATATAGTCAATACTACTGTGATAAGTACGCATGGTGCCAGTTGGGGTACTGGAAATATCGAGGGGAACGCTATGTAAAGTATATGATCGTCTAACCACGGAGCTGCACACCCAAAAGCAATACAGAACACGATAAAGAAAAGCTAAGGACTTGAAAAGAAGTCCTTTTCTGCCATCCCTCTAAAATATGGACCATAGTAGGCTTTGAGTATTTACTAACTAAAAGGATAGGCAGTATTATCTATCCATTATCATAACTGAAGAAGGACTTTTGACCCACTTTGTCCCTGAAAAGAATTTTGAAAATTGTATTTGCTGCTCTTCATATTTCCAAAAGATAAAGACCGTTGGCTCAGAGTGTGATGCTCTCAACATGTGTGTTCAACTGGCGTGTCACCACACCTTACTGCCTTAACTCTGGATGAGCAAGTGAATTAAATTCAACCCCAGTTTCCAGATTTCTTTGGAGTTTTCCCTCATTCTCATAAATCCCTCCTTCATAAGCCCAGGATGTCAGTGGTAACTTTTTTTCTTTACATGTTGAGATCATTTCAAGCTGTAGGAAAGTTTAGCGAATAGGACAAGGTGAAAGGAATACCTAGACTTTCCACCTGGTTACGGCAATGATTTAATTGCAAGACAATAATTGGGTACTTACTTTCTCTATGGACCATTTTATCTCATTCCAGGGAAAACAACTGCTTTTGGAAGTTAGGGGGGAAAGCTGAATGAAGCTCTTATTACTTAAATAGTGTGGGGGCCCTGGATTAACACTACAACTCGAACAGGTTTTATGAAGTATTGATTAGCAACACAGGGACCATGGGTTCAAGTTCTTTGTGAGCCCTTTGTGCTCACTGTGTTATCACCAGACTCTGAATCTACTGGGGTGTCAACAATAATCACCCAGAAATATTTGTTGAACTTTGCTACCAGAGAAAGCAGTCAGAAATAGCAGTTCATCTTTTTACCAGTGATAGACTAAATGAAACTATTCCTCAGTTCACATTTTTAAAGTGTTTTATTCGGTTTTCTATCTTAAGATAAAATAATTTTCAGATAGCAAAATTTTAACATTCCAGGTAATCATGCATTTCTAAAGGTCAGGCATGGGTTTTAGTGCATGGATATTTAAATCAAAAACAGTAGTTATATAGAAATTCATCTCTGAAGACAGAGTTTTACATCCCCTTATGAAATTTGGGGCAACTAAAGAAGTTACAAATTTGAGAACTGATGAGGGACCTGAGTTATAGACAGTGGTTGAGTTGGACATCATTTTGTTGGTCCCTAATATGAAATCCCTGCAGCTCGTAACAGCGTAGAACAGCATCACCTACATCAAAGGTAAGGATCCAAAAACAGCCAACCACTATAACATGTAGTCTTGATCAGCCAAACCACAGGCATGGCTTATAACTCAAAACCAAATTTTAGAAGCAGCAATGTCTTCATTGGGTGAGGGAGCAGCATTAGCAAGTAAGGACTGCACTTTGTGTGGAAGGAATCCTGTAGTTAAGTGTATATGCACATATATACAAATCACTAACTAATACAGGCCAAAACATACCCTTTTCCCCCCATGTATTATCTTAATAACATAATACATGTAATTATTATGTTCTAACCAAAAAAAAAAAAAAAAAACTTACTCTCCCAGCATCTCCTTTATTTATAGATAAATGCATGCGTGACTGGAGGCAGGTCTTTGACAGTCAGCTGTGCGAAAGGGAAGGGGACCTGTGCAGCGTTTGGCATTCCACGTGACATCACTGAATACAGCTGGGGTTCCCAGCCGCAAGGTGAAATAGGCCCTCAGAGACCATTTCTCCAATTATCAGGAGCAGATCTGTCCAAAGGCATTTAAAAATGAAGCCTGACCTACACTTCAACTCTACAGCCGGGGCCTGCCTGCCGAAAAACAATGTATGACCTTTAAATCTTAAATTATAAAATAGTTTGTTGAAAGTATAATGTATTTAGCTTTTATCTAATAAAGTAGACAAATGCGATCATTTCCTCGCCAAAACCAGGGGGAAAAATAATTTTAAAAAGTCCCATTTTCATTACTTATAAATAAAACTACCAGCCACAGTAAATGAGAAGATTTTTCACAAATTCTATTGGAAAATTCTGATCAGGCTTTTACTAGATATACAAAGAACAGTTTTATGTAAAGTTTAAGAGATATGAAGGTGATCCTAAATGTGAACTTTTAAATATTCTTTCTCTCTCTTCTTTTTTGTGCAGAGAAAAATTCTAATATTTCTACTATCCTTAGTACATACTTAATTTATTCCCTATATATGTATTTTATTACATGTTTGCTATAGGAAATCCAGTACACAAACATGATATAATAATTTTTTAAAAAGCAGATATAGGGAGGCCTAGAAAGAATCAAGGATAACTTTAGAAGGCTGCATAGGACTAAAGAAAATACTAGCCCCCAAAATGATTTATTCACCCCATGTGTGTTTATTAAACATGAATTTTGATTGGTCTTATGAGATTTATAAATCATTTCAAAACTTGCTTGAAAACCAAATCAAATCTTTGACTGTTACTTGAATTAAAAAATATATATATTATATATTGTTATATATATATGTTACATATATTTATACACACACACACACACACACACACATATACATATGGCATTGTGCTAGGAATCAGGGTCTTAAAAGTAGATGCCTATAGTAAACTATTTTAATTTGGCAACATTTTCAAACTCGGTTTCCAAACCTTGACGTGTCAGTCGTAACCTCCATGGCCCTACAATCTAGCAGGATGCCACCAAAAAGGAGGAATGAAGACCCAGCCTTGTGACCCTGGGCAGGTGTATTAACTGCTCTGAACCTGTCCCTTTGTCTATAATACAAGGCTCAAGGGGGCCTTCTTTTTTTTTTTTTTTTTTTTTTTTTTATCCTCACCCGAGGACACTTTTTCATTCTTTGTTCAGATAGAGCAGGAGGGAGAGAGAGAGAGAGAGAAACATTGATGTGAAAGGGACACATCGAGTGGCTGCCACCCGCACGACCAACCAGGGCCGGGGACAAACTGCAACCGAGGTACATGCCCTTAGCAGGAACCGAACCCGGGTCTCTCAAGACCGCAGGCCGACGCTTTAACCGCTGAGCCGAACCGGCCAGGGCAAGGGGGCCTTCTTTAGGGGATTAGTGTCGGAACTGAATGAGATACTGAGAGAAAATGTAGAGAAATGTTTTAAATTAATAAATCCGAACCATGAACTTGCGTTGGATCCTAGTTCAGAGGTGGGAAGGGTGACAAAAGACATTCGTTGGTCCATCCTGAAATTTTTCATATTAACTAAATTTTAGATGATATTAAGGAATAATTCTTAGTAGTTTCCTTAGCTGTGATAAAGATACTGTGGTTACAAAAATAATATTCTTTTTTATCCTCACCTGAGGACATTTTTTTTCCATTTTTTGTTCAGATAGAGTGGGAGGGAAAGAGAGAGAGAAACTTCGACGTGAAAGGGACACATCGAGTGGCCGCCACCCGCACGACCAACCAGGGCCGGGGACAAACTGCAACCGAGGTACGTGCCCTTAGCGGGAACCGAACCCGGGTCTCTCTGGACCGCAGGCCGACACTCTAACCACTGAACCAAACCGGCCAGGGCCAAAGATAATATTCTTATTGTCAGCATGTACTTGTAGAAGTATTTACAGGTAAAGTATGATGCATGTAACTTAGTATCAAATGATTAAAGGAACAGGAAGCATGGATACATACAGAGGCAGAAATGGGGTAGAGGACGTTAAGTTGCAAAATGTAAATTTTTGAATCTGGGTGGAGTACATGGGGTTCATTTTACCATCTGTTTATTTTACATATTTGAACATTTTCTAAATAAAAAGCTGAGGGGGAAAGAACAGAATTAAATGACATAACGTCGTTAGAACACATGGCTACTCATAGATGCAGCCAGTGCTGGGAGGCATTCTGACCACCAGTCTAAGACGACTGCCATCTCATTACATGGCAGGTAAGCAGTGAGAACATGTTATAAAGGGAAAAAAATGAACATAAAGAGATGAAATCCTCTTAAAAGGATGTCTCGGAGTCCATCAGGGTCACAGGACATGAGGACACCAGGTACCTAAAGCTCGAGGTTAAGGACACTGATCTCTTGAACCTAACACCTGGATGCAAGTTGGGGTGGGTGCAGGAAGGTCCCCTTGGATGAGCTAATTCTCTCTGTGCCTCTGTTTTCCCAGCTATGACAGTAACATAAAAATACTGTTGTCCTTATCACATAAAATCCTTGTGAAGATTAAATAAAGCAATGAGCCTTAAATGGTGCCTTGCACATTTACTTGTACCCAAATATTAGCTATTATTATAAGTACGTAGAGAATAACCTCCTAGTCCCACGAACCGTGGTTTGAGAGGTCCTGCCGACATTTATTGGGGATCGCTCCTTCACTTGTTAAACTCGATCTAAGACGCTGTACTGGGAGACTTCCTTTATTTTGCTTTTATTTATTTATTTTTTATCCTCACCTGAGGACATTTTTGCATTTTTTTGTTCAGATAGAGCAGGAGGGAGAGAGAGGAAGAAAGAGAGAGAGAGATAAACATCGACGTGAAAGGGACACATCGAGTGGCTGCCACCCTCACGACCAACCAGGGCCAGGGACAAACTGCAACTGAGGTACGTGCCCTTAGAGGGAACTGAACCCGGGTCTCTCCGGACCGCAGGCCGACGCTCTAACCGCTGAGCCAAACCGGCCAGGGCTATTTTGCTTTTATACATTCAGATCATTATTATGATAGCATTTGTCACCCATTGATCTCACTAAAAATGTCACTAACATTTTAAAATGCAAATGATGACAGTCCCTCTTTGGACATTCCAGAGACAGTCCAGTAATAACCACAGGCCTTATTTACAGAGTGCCTACAGTTTCCAAAGGCGTGTTTCCATGTGTCCTCACGGGGATTCCCTAAGATGGTCCGGGCAGTTCTTAGCCCCAACTGCAGGTAAGGAAAACGACAGCCACTGAGGCAAAGTGAAACCTCCTCCAATCATCCAGGAATCGCGGGTGCTGACACCTCGCAGAGACACGCCCCACTCGGCCCTCTGCCCACACTCTGCTCTGGGCTCCCGCGTCCCATCTGCGTGGGGCTGCCTGGGCTTTCAGCCTCATCTCGCTGCTCTTCCTGAGAGACCCGACCCCCTGTCTCCTCGGATCGGCCAGCCCACCCGAGCCACACAGAACCGAACAGTGATTCACTCAGAACCCAAAACATCACAAGACAGGAGGGACTAGCCCTGGCGACCCATAACTAATCAAATGGAAGCAAGCTCGGGAGACCTAGAGAGGAAACTGACCATGTGGGTTCCTTGTCCTGAAGCATATTAGAAGGAATCCTACCCGGGTCCTTCCTGCCGGTGACAAGTTCCTTGTCCTCTCTCAGCCTTAGGTCCCTCACCAGAGGGACTGTTATCCCGTCTTCAAGGTCACGCTCACCATGAGAGTCGAAGATACATGGGGAAGTATCTAACAGCACCCAGTCCTTACTAAGACTTTGATAAATATTTATCAAATTGAACTAACCCGTATGGATGAAAAAAAGTATACAAATTTTACATGCGATGTCCAACAGAGCATAGGAAATATACAACTCAATATTATAAATTAAATATCTTGAGGTTAATTAAATACACACTGCTTACATACTACAGTTTATTATCTAAAGAGACATTTAAAATCATTCTACTATAATTGTTGTACCATAAATTACAGCTGAGGAAGCCTCATAAAGTATCAGTAGTTTGGGGCAGTTGGCTAGAATGCGTGTGCTCATTTAGCAGAGAAATCAAACTTCTATTGTATGTAGCAATCAATGAGTGTATGGTTATGTACATTATAAGGCTCTATCAGGAAGAAGAAAAGGAAGCTGGTAATTTCTTAAGAAGAAAATTCGAGAAGGCAAAGGGGCAGGATTGGGTCAGGCAGTGGGCAGTGAGCAACCTCACCAGGTGTAGAAAGATTCTAGAAAAGATGGCACAATATGGACCTTCATAACCTTGAGCACGGTCACTCAACACACACAGAGGTCCTGGGGCTGGTACACAAGAGCTGTCTCCAAAGAGAACGTCTATTTTAAGTACTGGGAGAGTTGTTCTCTCCACGAAAATGAAAGGGCCTCCTACATCCTTTTCTCACTCAGGAGATGAACTGTGACCAGTGCGCTTACCAGTTGATTCTGATAGGCGGTGACCGCCGTGAACACCGTCTCCGGGAAGATGAACGTCCGGAATTCTTCAGACTTAAGGTTGAGCAACGAGGCCGTGTGGTCTTTCTTCTTAATGATGTGTACCCGTGGCTGGTACTTATGCATTGAGTTCAAAATGATCTACAACAAAGAAATGGGGAATTTTATGTATTTATAATGCTAAACAGGCCAAACTACAGTGAGGCAAAGAGAGAGCCATAAAGTCTACAATTTCTGGAGCAGAAGCTACCCTGTTTGTCCTTAAATCATTCTCACAGGCTCGTCCTAGTAAATCACATTCCACCCAGACCCCTGCAGGTAATACAGGTCGTGTCAAGTGTCTTTTCTAAGATGACAGGGAGAAAGTCACCTGGAAAATAAGTTTATTTATTTTTAAAGCAAGTCTTTAAATTGTGTGTCAGTCTGGTTAGAGCAAAGGATGTATGTCTACATTTTCTTAAGTGAGAAATAATATATGCTAGGGGGGTAGACTGTTATTCATGGGGGGATTAAACAATTTAGAAAGGTGGTGTGTTGTTAGACAGACCTGGGTTAGAATACTGAATCTGCTACTTCCTGTTTCTTTCATCATAGGGTGAGTGATCTCACCTCTCCAACCTCATCTCAAATGCAAAGCTAGTATTGACCTCACAGGGCAGGGTTAGGAGGGGTAACCCTTGCAAATCACATAGCAAGCAGGAAGTGCTCAGTAAATGTGAGCTGTATCATATTTGTTTTTGTTGTTACCTCTGGCAGCTTCACTGGTTCCTGGCTTCCGGTTACAAACTAAATATGAATAATAAGGATGGCCATCTTCCATTCCGTAGCTAGTAAGAGTTGCCCAGGACTCAGAAATCATAGCAAACCCTGGTCAACAAGGCAGTATGTTTCATGTATCTTTTAAATCAAATAAAATTTGCCATTATGAAAACTGAGCAACAAAATTCACTCTCTGATATAAAATGTTTTCCACATCTTCCCACCACCCAGGCAGCTACTTAAATCTGTAAGGCTGGGCACAGCTTTCCTGGGGTAACAGGCCTCGCAGTGTATGCCATGCACCCCCCAAGGCCCCAGCAGGGAGCCCAGTTCTCAGGGGAGTCAGTTTATAAATACTGTGGCAGGACCAAGTTGCAAGGCGCACAGCGGTGTTGCACTAATGGCTCCTTGTTTCTCGGCTGAGGTGGGCGCGGCGGAGGAGGGATTCTGCTGGTTGACTTGAGCAGAGTCCAATACTAGCCTGTGGCATGACTGACAGAGTCAGCCTCCCTCTGCGCTGAGGCGTCAGCCACGTTAACTGGCACTGAATTCTGTGCATGCCACCTCCGTACGCTCCCAACCCGGAGCAGGAATAACTGACAAATGAGAGCTTCAAACGAACTGAAATAATCTTTTTTTAAAAACTCATCTCTTGGTATCCTAAGGAGTTCAGGATATCTGTGTTCAGTCATAAAACTGGGAGAAACTTGAAGTGACAAAATACTGATATAAGAAAAACCTGAGCATTCACTCTACGCTCTACTAAGAAGATAGAATTTTCAAATCACGCACACACACACACACGTGCACGTGTGCGCGCGCACACACACACACACACACACACACACACACACACAAAGCCCTAAGCGTTAAATAAGGTCCCAGCTCCCCTACCTGCACCACCACATGATCAATTCCCTTTGGGAAAGGATGCCAGACAGACTCAGGCCCCAGACTGAGTCTCAGACCCCAGGGCTCCCTGACTCTCGGCTAAGCCCTTATGGGGCTAAGGAACACTAATGGAAATGTGGAGTCTGCATCATCTCACTTCCAAACAAATTCCTGGAAGTAAGAAATGTTCCTGTTACAAAGCTAAAAGTGCACCAGTAAGAGGCACTTCTTCAGGACTAACTCAGAGAATGTCGCTACACAACACAGGACCTGAAAACCCGTCTTTGTAGTTTCCAGACCACATTATGGCTGGTGACAACAGGTCACTATTATTAAATAATAAATGTGGATAATAACAACCATCCAAAACTAAACGAGGTGTCAAGGTTATCCATAATCAGACCAGAACGGGAGCTCCCGAAAGGCAGCCTGGTGCCGTGCCTACCCGGAGCTGATGCTAAGAGAAAACACCAAATTCTGGACAGCAGATCTCAGAATGAAATTTCAAGTCCTTCTGGAAAGACTCAGTTCTTCTCAAAGCTTCACATATGGAAAATACTAGAACCATTAAAAATTTTCATTTCTCCCTGCAAAGATCTCAGCAGAGCCCCAAAAATATGAATATAGATAACACTAGGAACAATCATCGGCCTGCAGAAAATGTCTCTCAGATGCTTCACAAATTTTAACCTGAAGAAGAAAAACTGTCGATGGAAACATCTTTGAAAATAAAGGACACTTATGACAACATCTTTGAAGATAAAGGTCAACTCTCTTTTTCAACACATGAGATAACAGAAACCTGTCCACCTGCTTTTAACATCTGAACACAGCCACCAGCAGTCAGGAGTTACCCTGGTTACCCTGATCGGTCCTGATTAACCAAGGTCTCCTGTGGGTGCTGCCAAGGCCTGAAGAGATTTATCCAGTTTCAAGTACAAGCCAACCATTTGAAACCATGTCTAGAACTGTAAGTTATTATCTACTGATAACCATCTTTTCTGAAAAAGTATTGAAATTCTTCTGAGTTGCATAGATCCAACAAAAACTAAAACCTAAAATAATAAAGGGATAAGAGAGGAAATAATTATATCAGACTATCTAAGCGAAAAAAAAGTCACTATGAAAATACCAATGTGCTTTGTGGCAATTAAGGCCCAAAAGCAAACAACAACAAAAACAGTATTCTTATTCAAAACAAGTATGCAAGTCTGTCTAAAGTTTTCTCAGCAAAACATCTAAAACTGAATTTTTATGTAAGTCTTTATTTCCGAGCACAGAATAATCTCACAGATAGTTCCTTGAAAAGCAATCTTAGCAAATGTGGCAAGGCCCGAGTCAGTGGTATTCATTCCATGAACTATTGATAAGAGCTCAGAATTCCAGTTTCTCCTTCCCCACATGTTGCTGGGCTCCTTATTGACACAAAATCATCAATTGTGTTTCATGGCAAGACTTCTCTGCACTTTAATATCCATCAGACTCTCCACAAAGGGGTTAGAGGACCAGTAAAGAGCCCTTCCCCAAACTTATTTAGACACGGTTTCAAATGATTGGCTTGAACCTGAAACCAAATCAGTCGCTTCAGGCGTTGCCCACACCCATTTGCCCACAGGAGACCTTGTCAATCAGGACCACGTCAGAGAAACCAGGTCACCTCATTAACTCTGCTGGTGGCACTGTCCAGGGGTCGGAAGTAGGTGAACACATTTCAGACTTACTTGGACATAAAGCCCTTTTTGCTCTATTGCATCTCATGGGAACATGCCCTATAGAACACACTGTGAGCAGCCCCCACACGGGGATCTCAGCCCCACCCCCTTTATGCTGCGTTATCTGATACACCGCCGACAGAATTCAGATGCTTAACCCTGGAATGGGCTGTAGGAGCCTCCAGAATGCACGTTCTCTCTGTTGAATTGGCGAAGGTACAAAGCAGTTGTTGAACTTCAGGAAATCCATGGTGCTGAAGGCCCCCGACCCTCTTGCAGAGAAAAGGCACACAGCATCCCTGTAAAGGGTCTCTTGACAACAGGAATACAGGAAGGTTCTCACAGAATGGCTCAGAGCCAGTGGGTGGGAGGGGTAGAGGGTGAGGAGGAAGAGACTTAGAGGGGGAAGTCTTGGGAGCTTCTCCATGCTGTCCTGGGGAAGCCACACAGATGAAGGTCCCGGACTTACGTGGCCATGTTGATCCAGTTCATTGTTGGTGAGTTTCACCTTTTCAAAAGACACCATCTGTTTGAGCAGCTGCTCACCAGTAAAAGGAGAGTCTGGGTGTACATACAGCCTAAGAAAATTATGAGAAATTTTATTGAGGCATTTTTAGAATTCTTTTCTCTGTGGGTTACAAATATTCTGATTCTAAAGGAACATGAAACCCCCATATAAATGGTGAATTTTATGTATCCCATATAACGTCCAATTTAAGAATATAGCAATACCAAAACAACTCTAAAACCTCTAAATGTGTTTCTTAATGTGTCAATGATCTAAAAGGGGTAATACTTAATAAATTTTCTATTATCTGTTGAGCAAGCCATTTTTAAACATGGTTTTTTCCCCCCTATCTTTCTAATAGACTACTGAGCGACTTCTGTAAAATATACAATCTATTGGCATAGGTATTTTCAAAAGAAAAATTAGGCTATACAATTGCATAATAAGTTCCTAGGATAACCATTGCTAAAAAGCAATGAAGACGTAAAGAATTTAAAAGAGGAAGCAATTCTAGAGCATCCAATCATTTAAAATTGCAGGTGACTGAGTTTAAAGTTTATGTTCTTTATAAATACCAGACAGAGTAACTTTAATTCAGTGACCTGGGAACTTTTAATAGTCCACACATAATCTGTTACTCCTCCTGTTGCCTTAACTGTTATTTATTACTTTCCTCATCATCTTGATAAGTGATGAAAATAAGCTGAGTAAGCTTTACATTATTCAGTGGATTCATTTGTAAACAGCCTAAGTGAAAAAATGTGTTTACCAGGTATTTATCATCTATTGATCAGCTGCAAAAACGATGTTTCACAGTTAAACGCAGGCCGTGTGTTCTACCTGGGAGGACCCCACTGCCTACGGCTCTTTGTAAATCCCAATCCTGGTTCCACTTGACATAAGCTTTTCTGAAGTCAGGGGAGATTACAGAACCAGTGAGGGGGAGGAAATATGCTTGATTCAACAGGAAAAATCCCTTCATCTAGGTAACAGGTGATGTATATATCAACTTGTAGAGGATCCTTATAACAATAGCTGAACATCAATATCACGGTTGGGCAAAGGCAAGGGAATAAGGCACAGAACCCTCCCTTGCGGTGTCCAAGCGAAGGGCAAGAAGTCTGTGCCACAGTCTGTCACACAGAGGATGAAGAATAGAGGAACTGGATGCACAGGCTGGAACAAAGCCCCCCAGAGCGAAGCACAGGTCAGGCTGACAGCAGTAAAGATTCTCCCTAGACCCATGCGAGAACCGGGAAGGCTTTATTTAGGTGTTTGTTTGCCTGCCTGCCTGCTTCTTTGATTGTTTTTTTCAAGGAGGAGTGTTCAAAATTGCTTTCAATTGAAGAATTCTTTGATGACACAACTGTAATGGCCATTCAAGGCTATAACTTGACTGATCAGCGCCATGTCTCACCCTCCCTGCCAAAAATAAACACACACACACACACACACACACACACACACACACACCCCAGTTTGAGAACATTTAAAAAGTCCCAGAAGCTGCTGAAATGCGCTCTCTTCAAGTCTCAATTCAGCAGATGCAGCGCATTAATAAAGATTCACTCCCTTAAATATCAATTCCATTAAAGAAAAGGAAAAGCCCATGTGAAAACAGCGTATGATTTTAGACCCTGTACAATGTCTCGCCCAGGGTTACGGTCACCTGCGATTGTCAAGCATTAGTTCTTCTGATTCGGAATAAGGGACCGATGAAGTTTGGCCTGAAGTACAATGTGTCCAACAACTAGAACCGCAAGGAATTCCCACCCTCAGTACAAAAATGATCACCCTACCAAGTTCCCTTCCTTTCTGGAGCTAGACATGATAGCACCATTTCTTTTTTTAATAATAATAGAGAACAGTTGTTTAAATGATCTCGACTATTTCTATCCTATCACACCCTAAACATTTTTATTTGATACCAGTATAAATAAGCTGAACTAAGATGAATTAAAAAGTATCCAGGAAGCCCCTCCTCTCTCAAGGTCCCTGGGACTTAAAATTCCAGCAATAGCTTACACATGCTTCAGTCGAGATAGTGTGTGGGTACGTGCTTGTCTTCTCCAACCAGAACAGACTGGTAACATAAACAAGGCCAGTCATCTTTCCAAAGCCCTGCTGGCCTGCGCCTGTTCCCCTACCTTCAGATAGGAAGAAACCGTAGGCTCAGTGAGAGTGATTAATGTCTTAGAGGGAAGGCTTTGAAGGGGGGACACAAAAAAAGAGTGTTTGTTTGTAAAAATGGTTAGGAATCTGCTACAATCGCTCTCTCTCCTTTAAAAGCTGCAGAGTAATGTGAATCTGCTATTTAGCAGCACGTAGTAGAGAACACTAATTATATTCATTTTAATATCTGTTGTAAATGGGTGAATCTTGCTCAATTGAAAAATGAGTAACAATTTTTTTTTAATATATTTTCTTAGTCATTTAATGTTTTTAACGGAGGGACGTGGAAGGGTCTGGGAGACGTCCTTCCGGGTCTCTTGTGGGAATGGGGAATGAGAGGCTCCGGTGATCTCTCCGCGCATGGAGCATACTGTCAGCTCGATGCGCATCCACCAGGAGAGCCTGATGCTCCGTCGGAAATGTATGTGTAATGACCTGTTGGTTCTGTGCACGGACTGAGACTCCAGACTATGTGCTTACGAAGAACCAGCTGTACCTTCAAAGTTCCCAAATCTTTCCACTGGCTACTTAATACTACATTTTTAGCTCTAATAGGAACTTTCAATCAATTACAAAAATTAGTCATAACACCACTTAAAAGCTGCGAGGCTTGGTCTTAGAACCCTCATGCAAAGTCAGCTGATATTCTTTGTATTAAAGTACACGGTTAGATTCCTATAACCACAGCTGTTACTGTTCACAAAAGCAAATATATGCCCCCCAGCCCCGCCCCCAGTGCTCAAGAGGGCAAAGCAGCAATAATGAAGGTTTACATGTGTGATTTTAAAAACAGGGTTGTCCTGGAGCAACAAAGAACATTATTACCAATGAATAGCACAAAAATAAACATATATGATCCCTAATATACTGAGTAATGTTTCATGTAAAAAAAAAAAATGCTAACCTGAGGTTGAATTACATTTGTCCACTTAAACTTTAAACTTAAAATCTCTGAGCCCTTTCAGCAACCACTTTACCAAAATGCACTTTCTCAAAAAGGACTTTAGGGCGACCACTTCATCAGTAGCATGGAGTAGTCCGCTAGAAAGGACGAGTGCCACAGGTCCAGCCTTCTAACGAATATTCCCACTGCACTTTCAGGAAATGCTAAGAATGAATTAAGAGCAAAGATAAAATTACAGACCGTGCCCTGGCCAGGCACGAACCGGCCTTTCTCAGAGACTAGCTCATATTCTGTATAATCCAACCTAGAGTGTCCGGGCTGGGACCCCTACCATTGCCCAGGGCTTCACAAACAGGCCTGCTTAAAATTCGAACCACCAGGGCAGGACACGGTCTGCCAGCAGGGTTAACAGGCATTTCTGGTCAGGCGGAAATCTCGAGGCACAGACCTGGCTGGCAGCGGGGGGTCCGCCTTGCCAGCCACCAGCCAGGAGGACCGGTGGTAGGCGTAGCGGTACCTCTTGTTGTCCACGGGGACGATGTCCATCAGGACTATGTACTTGGCCTCAGGGTCCACACCGGAAAAGGACACCCGGATGGTAGGAAACATCCTCCTGACACAGGGAGACAAAGAGAATCGGCTGAGCTCACCCGGCCCCGAAGAGCTGCCGGAAGGAGAGGGGAGAAAAGGGTGGGGCTCCCCTCCCTCTGAGGCCCCTAAACCCTTCTGTTGTGAGTTTAGAGATGGACATTCTAGATAAGTTTAAATGTCACCTTTACAAGAGTCCTCATGGCTGGGGGGAAAGGGTTTTTTGTTTCGTTTTGGATGCCGGAAGATCTGTGATCGCGGGAAATCCTAAACTGGACTAGCAAGGCCACTCGGCCCCCACCCGGGTCCCTGGAGCAGACCCAGACCTGCGATGCCCTGGCTCTGCTGGGGAAACCTTGCTCCCGCCACAGAGAGTAGGCGCCGGGCTCTCAGGCTGGGTTTAGGGGACCCTGCGGGTGTTTCCCAGAATCCTGAGAGTTGGAGCAAGGCCACTGACCTCCGGAGTCTTTGCCCGGCCCCGGGAGTGCCTGCACCCTAGCTTCCCGCCTGCCCCAGCCTGCCCCGCTGCAGCCCCCACGGCTGGGCCCCGAGCCAGCCCTCCCTCCTGCGCGCAGTGTGATCCTTACGGATCCATTCTGCCATCCACGTTTTACTTTTAGTTTTCATGGCAGCTGGAGGCTTCTGCAGATAGAGGCCCATCTAAAAGAAGCTAGTGCTTCCCTGGAAGCACTCAGCTGCCCCCCTGCACCCTGGGCTCCAGTTCCTCCTCCCCAGCCTGCACCCCCACACCCTCCCGGGCTGCAGGGGATGGAGGGCCCTGGTCCCTGTGCCCTTCTCATCAAGACCAGGTAAGGTTTCCCTTGGCCAGATCTTGAGAAGGCAAAAACCTGGAAATCTTCCTGAGCAGCATCTTCCAAAGCAAGTCGGTGGAAAGAGCCTTCTGTGAGCGAAGCTTTCTCTCTGTGCTCAGAACAGGCAGGGATTCACCCAATTCCTGAACACTCCCCCCGCCACCCAGGGCGCGCTCCCATCACCCACTCCTCACCCGCCAAGGCCCCGCTACCTGCCAGACTTGGTGATGATCATCTCCGTGCCCAGCTCGTGGAATTTATCCCAGAGCTCCTTGGTCTCCAGGCTGCAGGCAATTTTGGCCATTTCCTCGCTGGGGATGATGGGGGTGGTGGGGATCAGTGGCTCGGTGCACAGCGAGGAGGAAGGGGGGCTGCTGCCGCCGCCACCGCCACCAAACTCCCCGTGAGCATCCAGGCTGGTCAGCTCGCCTAGAGGCTGGGCGCAGGATGACTTCTCCACAAATTGTTCTGCAAGAGAAGGGACGATGACAGCCAATGCTGTCGAGCAAAGATACAGGAAGGAGAACTGCACAACTGAAACCCGTACTCGGATTTGACCTTGGAAACGCTAAGCTCAGAAACTCAGGCAGGCAGCTGAGAAGCCCTCACTGCACACGTCAAGGGTGCCCTTCCCACGGAGCGGCACGTCCTTGCTTACTGAGCCAAGTGAGTGAGTTCCAGTTTGTTGCCGCCTCTACCGAAACCCACGCTGGAGAAAAAACGCGTGAGGGCTGGAAAGGTGGTCATGATGGATAAAAACAAGCATCCTTTGTGTATCCTTCCCAAGTTCTAGGTGCCAGTCCTGCCCCGTGACAACCCACAAAGACCAAGGGAGGCAGGAGCCCCTCCCTTGCTGAGAGGAACTTCTCCTTCCCTCTTGGAGCCCTCGCTCCACAAAATAACAAGACGTGGGTGGGAGTGAAGAGGTGGTTAAAAAAATTCAGTCACTTCGCTTCTCTACCTGGCTCTCAGTTTCCTAGGCTTTAAGATGTTAGATTAAGGCATTTGTCCAAGGTACCTCCCAGCCTGAGATCATATGAAAGACTAGCGTTTAGCTTGTTAAATCACAGGCGTATACACTCTGGGCCATTTCTGGGGTGAGGGGGAGAGGTCCTAGAAGTGAGGAAAACAACCCGAAGCCCAGAGCCGGGTGCTAAAGTTGGAAGAAGGCTTTGCCATCCACCAGGAGACGGGAACAGCACTGCCTATGAACCAAACATTCTCCCCCACAGCTATAAGGGCCTGGGACTCCACCAGTCACTTTGATGGAATACAGGGGGACTTTTGTAATTACCCCAATTATCTTACATCCCTTTAAAAAGAAACTACTTGAATCTGCAATGTGAAACTGACCTCCAAAGAACTCTCAGTGCCCTCAAGAACTGAAATTAGTTCTGAATGTAGGTATGTACATCTATATGTATCATATAAAATGTTTTGGTTTCTGTATTTCTCCTTGAATTCAGGCAGGAAGTGGGAAATGTTTATCTCCTCTTCTTTTACAATAACAATGCAACGCCTGGAAATGTTTTAAATGAAGAATTATCCAATTATTTATCTGATTCTTCTAGTTTCAAATTTAAAGCAAGAGACCCATGCTATGGCAAAACCTTACCTGCAACTAACATTTTCAGAAGCACATTCACATAATGTCTTCATAGGGAATTAACAAGTAGCCTTAGGAATTTTCTTATTTTCTGACCATTGAAAAATGCAAATTCCCTAAACCCCAGACTAACCAGTCTATGTTAGGGCTGGGAAGCGGAGGAAAAAGAAAATGATACAGAAATGCTCTAACCCAATGCTAAATGTCAATTATATCTCAAAAATTTTTAAATAAATGCTCTAGTGTTCTGAGGCTGTTCTTCTAAATAGACTTAACGTGTTTGAACGGCAATCAGGAGACACTTTTGACCTGTATCCTGCATTTGCCTCAACATCTCTGTGGGGTTTCATACCACATTCTCTCTCAACAGGAATTTGAGGTGTTTCTCTTGCTGGGAGTCCTTGCGCTCTGTTGAAATGACCCCTAAAAGGGGCAAGAGTGACTCCTGGTCCTTCCAGAGGGATGCTTACTTACAGACCGCATGTGGGGAGGAAGCGGGTGGTGGTTCTGCGGGCTGGGAATAGCTCCATAGTTTAGAATTTCCACTGGTGTTTTCTCTCAGGAAAATAAATAGACAAGGAAGCAATGTTGAAATGACAGTGGCGCTGAAGCTGGCTTGTTTCCCAGGCTTCTGTCTGTATGTCTGTCAGGAATTTCAACCTGACATCTTTTCCTGCTAGCTACCAGTGATGGGGGCGATCCATAAAGAATTTGGGAGCCCCCTAAACAGGAGTGGATAATGTTGGAAAGTCCCATAACCACAACTTTGAAATCGGTGGTTATTGTTTTCTGAACAGTCAGGGTCTGTGTGATTGGTTGTTTCCACTACTTTGGCAGGTTTAGATTTAGACGGGAGGGTGGGTGGGAAAAAGCAGGGACAAGTGAAAGCCTGGAGGAGAGACGTTTTGACATGATGTTTTCTAGAGACCTTCTGGTTCGATTTTCCTGGGTCATGAGTTGCTACAGGGGTTTTAATTCCCTCTTCTTCCTCTGCCCAGACCCTTCTTTTTCGCCTCTAGGGGTTCATCTTTCATATTATTATCATTGTTTTGGATGTGAGATGTTAAATTTGGGGGGAAGGATAGGGGCGGGGAGGGGAATTGGGGAGAGTTCAAAAGAAACATTACCCTGTTTGCTATTTGATGTTTTTCACTGTTTTAGGCTCCCAGCTGATCAGGATATGAAATAGTTATTTCTTGTGGCCCCAAGAGGTGATGGTGAGGACACTTCTTTCTTAGTTGTGAAGGAACATTTAACACATCTCTGGCCGGTCCTTTCCCACACAATTCACTTGTGCTAAGGGGAACATACTCCCTTTCCTCCGAGCCTAGAGTCTTCTATAAATGGTAAAGGTTGTTAAATAAACAGTATAGCTAAAAGTTGAGGAATTTGGGAAATGGTTACTGGCTGATGTTTTTTGCCAGCCTCTACTGATGACCACAGTTAGAAAATGGTGTCTTATTGATAAGTCGAGAACTTCCGTGAGGAAACTGGTTCACTCAGAGAGAACCGGCTTATTCTACAGCCCCTGACAGTGGTTTAAGGAACTAACCCTATTTTAGTCTATCAAGTCGGGAGGAAAACAAAATTGAACTAGTGTCTTGTGAGGTTGCTTCCAGTCTCCTTAGTTTCAACTGCACGAGCAGGTGTGACACGCATCGTAAAGGTAAATCCTGTTGAGTCTTAAAGGGGTTATTATTATTATTTATCCTTGAATGCTATTATCCCAACAAAGTTACAGACCTACACCCACACCCCCTGGGATTCTAGACAAACAGGGAGAGCGCCTACCGCCTGGGTGAGACGCAAAACCGACTGTCATTAACAGACAGTGAAGCTCCCAAAGAAAACGTGGTCCTTAAAGGACATCTCCCACTCCCGACATGTGGTCTATGGCCTGAGGGTCAGAAGCTGCCACCCTCCCGAGGCTCCCGCAGCCAGGGGACTGGGGGTGGGGTGGGGGAATGCGCAGCACCCTGCCTCTGCCCACAGCGGAGAGTCAGGCAGCCCGACTTACCCAGGGGTTTGATGGTGTTTTCCGTGGCCTCCTTCTCCTTGGAGCCGCCGCTGGACATGAGCGCGGCGATGGAGAAGGCGTTGGCCCGGGAGGAGAGCTGCGGTTTGGGCGACGCCGTGAACTCCATGGCCCCCAGTAGGCGGTCCTGCCCAGCGACAGGGCCTGCCGAAGTGCTGTCCAGCTTCCCCAAGGGAGACAAAGACCGAAACACAGCGCAGAGTTTTCAAGTGCAATCACAGCGAAGTCGGGGCTCCAGGAGAATCAGCCCAACCTCCCAAGAGCTCCACGCCGGCCTCTGCACTCCCCCACCGCAGAGCCCTGGAACCGCACACTTCGAACGAGCCGGAGAGGACAGGAGAGGACCAACTTCGGGCTCCACCGGGTGCGCAAGCCCCGGGACGCTCCGCAGGACCACAGGCTGCACCGATGCAAGCTGGTGACGAGCAACAGCAGCGCAAAACCCAGGGGTCCCGCAGCACCCCCTCCGCGTCCTTGCTGCCTTCCCCCCGCTGGGGACAGCCGGACGGCCCGGCTGCAGGGAGGTGGGGACCGGTGCAGCGCCAATGAGAGGGCGCGGGCAGCAGGAGCCGGATCGCGGCGCGCCGCACGGAGGACTCTGCGCCCGGGGGCTCGCAGCCCTGCGCCTTAATTTGCTGGCGGCGCCGATCCCCGCGGCCAGCAGCCAGTCAGCGCCGCCCCACGTCACCGCTTCCTGATTCCGCCGGCGGGGGCGGGGCCGCGGGGCTCCAGGGGAGGGCAGCGTCCCGGTGGCCTTGCGCCGCAGCCCGCCGCAAACCTGGCACCCGCTGGGGAAAAGGGGGTGCCACCACCTGGCGGGCACCAACTCCGCGGACGCCCCCTCCCGGTCTTGCAGTCCCGGGGCGGGAGGGAGGTGCGCTCTGTCGGGAGGGGGCATTTTTGCGGCGACCTGAAATCCGGGATCCCGGGAGTGGCGCAGAGCTTGAACCTAGCCCAGGGGAAGACTCGGGAGTTCGTGCTTTGTCCAGTGTTTTCTTACCGGTGCTCCAAGTTCCAAAAGAAAGTTGGGAAGCGCTTAGAGAAGAAAGCGGTGCCACAGAGCTGGCGCCCACGGCTAAAGGCAGACTGCAGCCCAGATCCCATTCTGCGGTTACCCCCCAGGGCTGGGTCCCCGCGCTGGGTAGTCTCCAATGTCTGCCTGCTTGACAGTGAGGCCGAGGGGCTCAGTCCTGCAAACGATGCGCTAAGAGGGGGCTGCGAGCCTGGGCAAAGGACGCTGCACCGGCAACCGCCGTTTGTGCTGCGCGGCAGTGCGCCTCTCACTCTGCTCCGGTCCCCGAGACTCAGAAAGATGGGGCTTCCACCGGAGGGAAGGCGATGGCGGGGCGCTGTGCGGGGGCGCGGCACCCTGCGGGGACAGGCGACCGCAGTGGGGGAGTGCGAGCCGTGCAGCGCCCCAGCTTGGCCGACACGGACCCCTCTGCCCTCCCAGACTAGGCGGCGACCGGGGCTTCCCACGGCCTTGTGGGGGTCGTCCTGCTGGCCTTGTTCAGCTTGAATAACTCAAATTCTCCGAATTCGCAGGGTAATCCGCTTCGCTCGCTCGGAGCCGTGTAAACTCACGCTGACACGCACCCTCGAGCTGTACATGTAAATATTTGCGCTCCTTTTCAGCCAGTCGGCCTGGCGATTAGGAGCCTCTTGGTAGGTCTTAGAGGAGAAAGAAAAGAAAACAGCTCCTATTTCCCACCAGCCTTTTACTTTCTTCAGTGCATCTCCCCGCCCTGGCTCCTGAAATAAGCTCATGCGGAAAAGCTGAAAGTCCAAAGTTGAGACCATGTATGAAAGTAAAACGATGTCATCTGGGAGGGTCGTCATCGCTTATAATAGTTTCTCACCAGGTGCTGCAGGGGGGTGACTGAGAAACGTTTTCTGTAATCAGTCTGATGTACAAAGTGTGTATGTGTAAATGTCTGGGGAAAGTCCTAACATCATGGACTTTTTGTACCATGGTTTGTCCTGGAAGGGGTTCCGCTGTCATCTAGCCCACCTCTGTTTTCTTTTGAAAGAGAAACCGGGTCTGGCGCGGAGGCGGCGGGGGTGACCCCCTTGCCGTCTGCCCAGTGGGCTAAAGGCAGACTGCAGCCGGGCCGCACTCCAGGCCACTGTCCTGATCCCCACCCACACCCCCACACACCCTGCAGCTGCTCTGGGCTATTCCTGCGAGACCGATAGTCCCTCTAGCAGGCTGAGAGCAGAAGGCTTTCCGATTAAACCTCGGCGAGAGAGAGACTGAATCACCGGTGCGCCTAGGGGTCGGTTTCCATTCCTGAGTCTTTGGTCCTTTTCGGTTTTTGGACAACCCAGCCCCAATCCGGGTCCTTCAGTTCTTAAAACCTCCTGCCTCTCCCCCAACCCCACCTCCAAACAACAGCGTTTCCCTTTTCCGAGTGTAGGGCACCTTGGTTCTGTTCCTGTCTCAAATGCTAAGTTTGGCCAGGAGGAAGATTTTTGTCAAGAGTTTTGGTGGTGGTGGTGGGTGGGTTTGGGGCGAGGGTGCGTGAGGAGGATGTCAGGATTAGTCTAGAACTTAAAGTATGTTTCAGCTAGGTGTGGAAGATCTCATCTGCTGGTTTTAGTTTTCAAAAAATTATTGTGGGATTATACCTCAATGTATATATTTTTAAAACTTGCCATTGCATTTCCACACAGAGGGAATGCCATCGTTTTTTGAAATTGTCTTAATGGTTCAGACTGGAATTTCGATAATATCATAACAGGGATGTTTGTAGAAAAATTGCTGGAGCAGGGGGGAGGCGACCTCACCCCCCCCACCCCCACCCCCCGTCAGTTTCCATTTCCTTTTCCAATTGCCCACCCGCCTTGGTCCAGCCCTGGGTCTCTGGTGAGCAGGGAACTCCAGCTATTCATCCTATTACAGGTAAGAGGAAGAAAAAGAGAGGGAGAGAGAGAGAAAATAAACTGAGCGAGCCCGGGAAGCAGGCGGCAAACAGAGGACCCGGAAAGGCCACTTGAAAGGAACGCGGCGCCAGAGGCGAGCCACTGGGATGCCTCACAAGCTATGCGTCTTGTTGGTGATGAAACCGCTTCAGTGAAACGTATAGACTACAACATAATTATCGGGGGCACAGAGTCCCTTCTCTTAGATTTATTGCCTTTGCAAATCAATATGGTGCTATAAAAAAACGGGGAACCGGTGCTTGGCACAGAGGTGCTGTCAAAAGGTATCTCAGAGACGTCCCCAGGGAGAGCGCCCAATGCGAGGTCCCTTCGCCCTCCCTCCGAGAGGGCTGGTTAACAGGTAAAGCCACTGGAGAAGCTGGAACAGAACAACCCCATTAACACTTCCCTCCAGGCCCTTCTCAGGCAGACACCAGGAAGTGCCTTGGGCTCCGGAAGACTGAATCTTTAGTCCACGTTAGCCCCGAGACTTCGTGGGTTCCCTAAACCTCTCAAAGCCTCAACTTCACCCTCTTTCTTAAAATACAACCAATACTATATTCCTACCTGGAAAATGGCTCTGTGATGAATGAGGTAACAACGTGTGTGTAGCGCCTAAACCATAAGTGACCTCAACGGTCACCCCAATGTAAGTAAAACACTAAGTACAGAATTTTATTATATTGAATTTTTGAACAGAAATTTCGAGATGGCAGAGCTGTGGACAGTTTGGGAATGTGCGCAGAGAACCGTGGCCATGGGGTGGTAAGGGACCATTATTCAAATCCTGTTGAACTCTGGCGTCTGGGAATTTAAGATTTTGGTTATATGTCTGAGCTTGATTATACGGACTGCCACTATATGGAGGACTGGAAGATGTCTTATGCACGCCACCCTTTCAAGTTCTTATTTGTAGCATCCAGAACTCAAAAGAACTGTCCTGGACGCAAAAGGTTTCTCGCTTTTGGCCAATAATCCCTTGATTAACTACAGCCAAAGCAGAAAGAAGCCTTCGCCGACAGCGGCGGGGACCGGTGGGGACTGACGCCCCCGCCGACGCTGGGAGCAGCTGGGCCTGGGCGGCGGGAGCGGGGCGGGTGCCAGACCCAGGGCGTCCTCCAGCACCCGGCGTGAGCGCGGGACAGGGGAAAGGAGACTGGCTTCTCAGCACGCGGGCAGCTGCTCCTGAGCGTGGACACCCGGCCCTGGCTCTTCTTCCGCTCTTTCTGGTGAACGCGTTAAAAGCACAGCGATGGGCCTCGGCGCTTTGGATTTCTAAATTCGGTTCGCGGAACAGGAAAGACGCCCAAAGCACCGGGGAGGGAGGCCGCAGCCACCGGCAGGCTGCAGCTGCGGGTCCCCGCGGCGAGACAAGGGCAGCGCGCGTCCCCGCACCCGGTAGGGAGCGCGCGGCGCGGCCCCGAATTTCACGGGCTCGGAGAGGGCGGGTCCCAGCCTTTCCTCCGCAGAGCTCCAGCCCAGGCTCCGGCGCAAAGCTGGCGAGGTTAAGTTTTCTTGACATTCCCCCCTACCCCGCCCACCCCAAAAGGTCCCCAAGATGCGCCCCTTCCAGCCCAGGCAGCAAGTACTGGCCCAGAAAGGAGGACCCCGGGCGGGGCCGCTTGGGGCGAGGCTCCTGGAGGAGCACGGCCGGAATGTCACTGAAGGTCCCAGGTGGTGTGTACGCGCGCACCTCGCCAGGGACTTCACAATCGCGCTCAGCTACCGGGCCAAGGAAAGGATGTCGTGTGGGATGTCCAGGGCAGGTCGCAGCCTTGTCCAGGACCCAGTCCTCAGGTGGTGAAGGGAAAATGTCACTCTGGGACGGAGCCCGGGTGCTGAGACGTTACACGCCCTGGGCTTCCTCCTGTTTCCACCGCGAGGCAGTGCTTGGTCTAGGGGCAGAGGTCAGGCGCGGGGCCCCATTGCCTCCGCCCCTCTGGGCTGCGACCCTCCCGCTCCACCCCGTGACCACTCGCTACCCAGTTCTTCCTCCGCGAGCTCGCGACTGCAGGGACCGGCCCTCGGCGCCCCAGGCCTTATGACCCAGGAAGAACCAGTGCGCTACAGCTGGGTGCGAAACTCGCAGCGTGATCCCAAGGAGAGAGAGAGAGACAGAGACAGAGACAGAGAGAGACACACACAGAGAGAGAAATCTCCTCTGACTCTGTGAAAGAGGGATGCAGA